GTTGTTCGATTTCAGACAAGAATTTTGCCCTAGCTTGAGAAATCATCAAGGTCAAGGATAAGGTGTTTCCTAAACGACTTGTCTAACCTAAAGAATTTTTTTTCTAGTGCATGGTTGCAACGCTTCCAGTGCAAAACATTTTCCGCAGTATCCGGATTTTTGGAGAGAGCGGTTTAGCAAATGAGGATTCCATGGATGCAGCATCGCCTGGACTTCGGGCTGTAGATGCTTGCTACGAACCCCAAGATTTTACCAACATGGACGATATTGGAATGTCTAAACTCGAGAAATTTTAATTTATTCTCATGTTGAAGATTATAGTTGTTATGTAAGGTCTTTTCTAGAACAATCTTCCGGAGAAGGTAGTTGCGCAGCAAATAAATGCGTTTTAAAAAAAAGAAGGTCGGTCTTAATTGGATTTTTATAGATATTTTTAAATTTTAATATGTAGCTCGAAAAAACTAATGATATTTTTTAAAAAGGCACGGATCTCTTTAACCTTCACGAACAATACGGATGGTACTAAATAAATCAAGCCTTTTTATTGAAAAAAAACCTAGCTGTTTGAACCGCAAGTCCGATGAGCAGCTCGGGTTCTACTATAGGAATATCAAGAAGGCCCGGATAACAAGTGTGATAATCCAGGGGTGGTTGAAGTAGTTCGACATCGACATGAAGGTAAGTAATCTATACGTTTTTAGATCCATTGTAATATAATAAGCCACTTTGATACGCTTTAAGCATAGCAGTAACATTATATAGCCGCAATCGAAAGGTCTTGCTTTTACGAGATAATGCAGAATCCTATACTATCAATGATCGGGAGATGGAGAATGTTCACGTGCAGTTCATGCCCTCAATTGTACCGCAAAATTTTATCTTATCAATGCCGGAATTGTCGCTGCTTTATAAGCTCCACCACAGGCCCTTCCATCTTCAGAATACTGTGGACCGCGAAGAACGCGGCGATGTTAACATCTACAAGGTCGACCAGTTGACCGCCCTGAAATGAACTGTGGCAGCGTGGTAGTAGATTTTTAGCTGCAACTGTGGCACTGTTTTAGCCACACTGGACTGTTCGTATCCTCGCGTTTTCCTTCTATAGCTGATTAGGACGAGCATATGGTTGAGCAAGAGTTGTAGAATGCCGTCAATTTTCTTCCTCTTAGGAACCCTCATGGTCCTATCAAATCTTATAAATTCAGTGGAAGAGGATGAATCAGCACACGTGAAGTTCAATGAAAGCGCTATTATCCAGATGGTCTAACAGACTGAAGAGGAGGAGGAACAGGAGGAGGAGGAGCAAGTCAAATTGGTGGAGACCAGCAAGAAAGAAATGCTCGAGTTTTAGCTGTGACTGCTTTCATCCTTTTATTTGTCGATCCTGGCTAATAGAGTTATTCATAGGCGTATTCGTGAGCTTAAGATGTATACTGGTGTGGATTATACCACTCAGAGCACCCTCGATTCTTGGCTTCACTAGATAATTTTACCCATACACTTCGTCTTTATTTAAATACGTATAATTCATACAGAAATATTCAAATTACTTTGCTAAAGAGTATTACCGCACGATTTTTTGTACCGCGGAATTCTTACCAAAGCCCTATAGTTACGAAGTACGAGTTATGAGCTAGCGACCATAAAACGAGCATGGTGGAACATAACATGTATGAGTTATATGAATTAATATTTATGAGTTATGAGGATATGAGCTATCCGATGAATGATTGCATATTTATCTTCTTCCTGAGGCGCCCGCGTCTACTGGGAGTATGGCAATTTTAGCGCCTAACCAGACTTCTGGTAAAAGGCGAAGGTTTCACACTTACTATTTTTTTGGCTCTGTTTAAGTATATGACACCAAAAGCGCATGATTGAGTGTTTCTGACGAACAACTCCTGCTAATGTCACGTTGTTCCTCAGCAGCGTATATCTCAACATCACCTACACCCCAATAACGGTCAAGGGCCATACACTTTAACCGATAAGAACCCGATGTGCTTATAGCAATTTCTTGAATAGAGCCCAAATTGTTCCCGCTTAGCCAATTTTAGCCAAAGTAGAATTCAAACCAAAGCTCAATGCCATATTCAAGGTCTCTTCAAACACAGACGGTTTAAGATAACATAATCGGTCCCAGAGAATCCAGTACAAAGACATTGCTGTAACAAGGTCAAAAAGACTACCTCGGGAAGAGGACCAATCTTCATAGCAGCTACGAGTGATCTCAATTCTTCGGCATATACCGATAATTTGGTTATTTGTCTGAAAAGAGAACACGGAGCGTGAACGTACGCGACATGCCTGACTAGGCGGCGCAAATACGCTTGAAAGATATAACTTCAGCGATCCTGCGTAGAAAATGCAGCGTTTAGTGACGCGCTCAAAGTTAAGACTCATTTTTCGCTCATCCCCATCGTTACATATTAATGCTAAATACGAAGCAGGTCAAATTACATGGTCATTTTGTCCGTCGGAACAAAGATAATGGTATCACCCCTTCCCTATTATTGATTGTTTAACCCTATTATCGACAAACTAGGCTAAGTTTTTTCGTTTAGTACTGACACAAAGCGTGTAACTTGTTTTACGCCATTCATCGTAGTAATTGCCCTGATTCGGACTCCTCGTATTGAGAATATAATCGAGCCGTGTGCTAAACAAAGTCAGGCTTTGCGATCCAAGAAAGACAAGATATTCCGGATTCAAAGATTCGGTCATATTAGAAAGCGCGTCTGTCCGGGCTTCAAATGGGGGAGCTTAATTTTATATTGTCTCACAGAGGACCAGTTCGTACAGACTTGGCCGTTATGAAATTACAAAATGTATTAAGTGTAGCTAAAAATAGTAGCTTCTTGCCAGATAAAACTTTGATGTTAAAGAGCCGATTCGATATTTAGCAAGAACAAGACGAAATAAGACATATATTTCAAAGAACGATTACTAGGAGTACACGAGTTCTGAAGAAAACGAATTCTAAAGTTCACTGACCTATCGAGACTTTAGCCGTATTTTAACGTACGAAAGCCTCGTCGATGGATAGCACAAATTATTCAAGTGCACATGCCCCAAAGCAGATTTTTTTACATATACCATTTTTAGACGCCTATGCAAGGCATCCATATTGTAGATCAAAATGGAAATGACGGTTATCTTATCTTTACAGTGTGATAAAATCCTGTCGAAGCACTTTATGTATGATTTCACTCCCTACTAATGTAAGCTATAGTAGGGAGTGAAATCATACATAAAGTGCTTCGACAGGATAAGACCTGAAACGTTCTTCTAGGTGGTGGAAAGGCTTAGCACTCAGCAAACGTACTCGGATCACACTGATTTATACAAAAGGGGTACACCACAGGGTACTTGTACCAATTTCGTTGTTGTACCGTCAAAGTTTACCACCGTTACACCTATGTTCAACGAAGGGGGACTTAAATAGTTAATTGGTATGAAATTATTACTCTAACAAATAATGCAGCTCAAAAAAATGGATGATTCGACTTAACGAAAAAATAAGCTTACAGTGCAACGACGTACATTATTTGCAGAACCAAGTGCCAATAATATCGCATTAACAAGACACTAGAATCTCATGGCTTTATTAGCAAACTGGTGATTATTGATTTTCCATAACGTCAATTCAATTTCGCCGAAGTACTCAGTAGAACGTGAAAAGTATCTTCCTGGATGGCTGACCCGCATCAGCCCCATGTAGCGTACATAGAATAAGACGTATCTTTACAACTGGTACACTATAGGGTCCACGTACACATGTACTGTAGTTGTACCCAAGAATACAAAAGGGTGGTACCCATAAGTGTACCTTTGTTACACCTATACCCATGGCGCGCGTCTAGATGTGATTGGTGGGTTTAGATGATTGTCATAATGATCTACACAAACCAATAAGTCGATCGGTGCCGAGCATCACCTTTAATGTAATACCTCTTCAGTATTTACTTAGCAAGGTAAATATTGACGTACAAAAAATAATCAAGATGATGTACACATTGACCCGACTTGGTGATAATGACATGAAATCGGCTACCCCACTATCTCATGTCCGCCACATCAAATTTTAGATAGGTACTAGCACGTTGGCCGATTTGTTCGCCCTGACGTTGTATGTAATAAAGAGCATTCCAAGTCAAAGGTCGTTAACGTCGCCATTCAGTCAGATCGTCAATCGACACAGATGCCAGAATGGGGGATATTGACAATTTGGCCTTAGATCAATGTCTCAATACGCCATTGCATCTACGCGTTTCTTGGCTGCCAAAGCAATTGGACTGCTGCGTCCGATCCTATGATTTCATGAGCCGCACAACATAGTGGTTTCGCAGATTTGAGTGTCTGTGCAAGGGGTTGCGTTCACTACTGTATTTATATCATATACTTGCAGCGAGTGGTCTCCCACCATTCAGCTTGGCAAAGTCGACGGTAGTAACGTCGTCTAGTTTGCATGTCGTTATATCGTCCAAGAGCGGTCCGCATTAATACATTGGTAAGTTTCGTCGGTCTGCCTGGAAGCATTTGTGACTGCACGACATCTGATGGCAGCGATCATAGCTAAAAAAGCCGTTGATGTACGAGTATGGGGTGTATGGCAAGCGAAGTAGGCAAGCCATGGGCGCGAGGCACAGATCAATATCTAGCGATCACACGAAGCGCAAAGGATTTTAGACCTCTTGCGCTGCAATCGCGCTGATCAAAGTCACACAAGCCAGATTAAATTAAAAACGGCCACCAAGTGCGTGCAAAACGGTCCAGGTGTCACTTGATCGAACTGAGAGGTGTTTTGCTGCAACGCGTTCACTTACACTTCTTGAAAACAGGAATCATACACAGCTACCGCGCGTCAACTTTTAACCCGATCGATCGCGCAAAACGTTACGTGATTCTTCTATAGCTAGATCTGACAGGCGCATCATTTCATTTATCAACAACTTTCCACATTCGCACGTCGCTGTAGAAACAGCATGAGCAATGCCCGTCTAGGACGAACACGAGACGCAAAGTGGGGCGGTGGATGGATCCTGCGGCTGAGCATACACGAGATCACGCTCATCATGAGGTGCATCAAATGGGTGCGTCATCAGCTTGAAAATGTGCTCAACACCATCATAGTCGCCTTGATGGGCCATATCGATGGCCTTTTGAGCGACATGGTTGCGTAGCACAAACAGCGGGTTTACCTGAAGCATTCGCTCACGGCGCGCGGCATCACAAGTAGCAGCACCTTCTTCCTTGATACGCAGAACGTAAACTTCGACCCAATCTTTCCACGCGGTACGAACGCTACCCATTCGTTCATCTTCGGTGGTCGCGTCGAGCGTCCTCTTTGCTTCACGATTGGCCTTCATCTGCGCGACAAGTGCAGGGGTAACGCCATATTGAGCGGCACGCCTAGGATCATTCTGTAATAACATCGAGCACATGTTGATCTGGGCATCCGAGACTCCGCTAGATGCTTGCTCCAATTTGCGCTTCTGCTTAGCCAAGGTCTCAGACACTGCTACAAGCTCGTCAAGCGTCTGTTTGTGGGACTTTCCAGGATCGTAAGCGTCTAGTTTCGACAGGATACGAAAGGTGCAAGTAAAGTCTGCGCCAGTGTGAGTCAGCACGTCGGAAAGCGTATCCACAAGCGCCTTGTCCTCTGTACACCCAGGCTGAACTGATATGCCAAGTTTCTCGCGCATTAGACGCATATACTCTTCCTCGTATATTTCATCGAAAGCCTTCAAACCATTATCAAGTTCCGCGCGGTCCGTCACCAGCCCAAGCTGATCAGCAAGTACACCACAGTTCCACTTACAAATTTCAGGCTGGGCCTCGTAACGGTAGCGACCTTCGTCATCCGACGAGTTGCATACGTGTTTCGGATCGAAGTGCTCCATAAAGCCAAACGGGCCGTAGTCCAGCGTATCACCTACAATACTCATGTTGTCTGTATTCAGCACACCGTGACAAAACCCAATGGTCTGCCAATTCGCGACCAACTTGGCCGTGCGACGCACGACCTCGTTGAAAAACTTTACATACTTCATTTCACCAACAATCTCTGGGAAATATTGCTTGACAGTGAAGTCCAGCATCCGCCGCATCATTTCCCCTTTGTACTCCAAATGGGCGCTTGGGCCTGCACGATTTGTATGCTGGTCTTGAGTTTTAAAAATCTCAAAGCTGCCAAACCGCAAGAAACTCTTGGCAATTCTCGTGACCACGGCCGTTGGCTCCATCTTAGCATTGCCATTGTAGAAAATGTCCCTCAGCACCTGCGTCTCTCTCGATACCACGACACTACCTGCCCGAGTTGTTGGCACTCCTAACGCAAACATATGTTCGCTGCACAGAAACTCTCGCAGTGTCGACCGCAGCACTTTTCGGCCGTCAGCCGACCTGGAATAAGGAGTGAGGCCAGACCCCTTGAGCTGCAGCTCCCACCGGTCAGGTGAGCTTCCAGTCACCACTTCGCCCAAATACAGAGCAGCGCCATCACCCAATTGGCCCGAGAAAAACCCAAATTGGTGGCCGCAGTAGCACTGTGCAGCCGTCTCCGAGCCCGGCAGCAGTTGGTTGCCAGCCAATATCGGCACGAGGGAGTCCATGGACTGGAACGACTCGTCGTCGTGGTTCCCACTGGCTCGTTCTGGACGATGGACACTGACGTTCTGCTCGTTCACGTGATTTGAGAGCTCCAGACCGACTAGAAACAGAGCAGAAGGTGACACAACGACGAGCTCTGGATGAACAATCGGCGTGGGCGCGACACGGGAGAAACACGCGCCGGGGACGGCGCTCCGCACGACGTTTCGAAACTCCGTATCCAGTGGGAGCTCTCGTAGCACGGCATTGTCGAATCGGGACGTCGGGAGGCGCCTCCAGCCGCGCGAGAAGCCGAGACGGCCGTTGGGTTTGGCCATTGTGTGCGCTTCGTAGCGATTCGAAAGGTGATCGCTCGCTCGAGTCCGTCAGCTACAAACGCGCAACGGTCGCGGGGCGCGTGTTCTCGAGAATTGGTTAGAAATAAGGCACACGATCGATCGTAGGACCGTTATGTGGGCGTCTCAATTCCACCGAGCCGTCGATGAGTCTGTATTACTTAATATCCTTCTTTTACGCATCGTGGCTGCCGAGCTACACACGACTATCGGAAAGGGTGTTTAAACACACTCACCGCAGTGCGTGATCGCAAACGTCTTGATATGAATCGTTTGGCAGCCCTTTTATACTTTCTTTTAACTCTGCTTGTTTTACCAAGCCTACAGGACATTGTTCTGCACAGGACACTTCCACGCTCGCCTACGCTCCTTTCGAAGAAGAAAAGGTATCAAATTGGTGTTCGTGCACAACGAACAAGACGGGCGTGTTGGTGCTGTGGTAGCACACGATAGTGGGCAGTAACGAGATAAATGGCAACGGCTGATCGTTTTCCCTACACTTATTCAAACCTTCTCAGCGATGTATAACTTGCCAGCATGTGCCTTCTAGCCGCGAGTCTTGTGTGTCAGGTTAAGATCAGCACACGGCGACAAAATCTGGATATAATTAGAGTCGGTCTTACCACAAGAAGTGGTAATCAAGTCACAACAGCATTCGCTGTAGGCTTGCTTCCGATCACAACAGTCCACTCTTGCGGTCATGCTTCTCGTCATCAAGTGGTAACGCGGTTGCCGAGACAGCCGGTCTCATTCTATATGGAGGCTGGGAGTGTGCCAATTGGAATCGATTGGATTGCAAAGGGGATGAAGGTGGTGGCGATCGCGAAGCGTGAGCCTGTTGAACATACCTTGACAAGTCCAACGGCAAACTTTCGAGAGATATAGCTAGTTTGCATACATAATAGACGTACAAGGTCATGCAGCGGACAAATAGTATCAAGACAATGTCAATTGTGCTTTAGGTGCTACTTTACGGCGCTTGAAATATGGAACCGCAATAGACACACATCAAGTTAGCAAATATTCTCGGTCGCATTGGTTGCAGTATCTTTAGCTATGATGTAGCTTGAAATAGCAATACTTGGAGGAACTGCAGCGTTGTGATATTTTCTCGCGTAATCACCGCATAAATCTCGATGCAAGAATTGCGATAAATTAGAAACGAGCATCTTCGATTTATATATTTAGGATTGGAGGCGACGAATCGTCAGAAAAGGGTGGTGGCCGCACATATACAACAACAGCGAATTGCTCATTTAATGGCGCTGCTACCCGTTCATGATCGCACTTGTTCCCGCAAATACATAGCTAGATTCCGCTTTTACATGGTAAAAATATAGATCAAGTATGGAAGCGGGCGATGCCTTTGTCTGAGACTAGTTCGATGTCGGCTCGTTAAGAGTCAGCGAGCATACGGAATTAAGTCTGGTGTATGTAACGGGGCTAGAATAACCCGTACTCAGCGTACACTATTTCTAACGCTTTGAGGAAGCTCAAAGCCCAAGTCTTAGGTGTTAAGTATTTTTAACTCTGTTTATATTTTGTCTTTTAAAATCATCCTAAGTACGAATGGTTCCCTTGGACTCATGGGAGCCACTCAATCTACGTGTCTATATCTTACTGGCTAATAATGGTACTGTGCCCATTAAACCAGCTAAAATGTACGACGTGCTACTTTCGCTACTTCGAAAGTAACACCCCTACTTAAGTAACATGTAAACTTAATCGAAACTACTTATGTAACGGGGTGGCCCATTACATCACCCCCTTCTCAAGACAGCACTCACCAACCGTGAGTGCTCAACCACAAGACTTTAACGACTCACAAGCCGAACGATGACTGAAGACGCAGACGCCAACAAAACAGCACTCCCGCGCACAATCAGCGGGAGTTTGGTCGACCGCGTGATGGATCAGCACCTGATCCCTTGGGCGCTGTATGACTTGTCCGGAGCTCGGTCTCCGGACTCTCTCGAAACGATGCAGGACTACTTCCGTCGTTTCCGTGGGTTGCGCGGAAAGAGACTTGATGGAATCTCATACGAGTCACTCCAGCGGTCATGGTGTGCGTTCATCCGGCGGTGGAACCGGATGCATGAAGACGGAAGGAACTTTCAGCAGTGGCTGGCCAATCGCGAAGATATCCACGCCGATCATTCCATCGGTGTACTGCGCGAGAAGATCTGTGAAAACGCCTGGAACGTAGATCGACTCTGCTACGTTCACGTGCACGAATCTTGTTACTCCTGTGACTCGGTGCCTCGTCCAACTCGCGAAGCTTGGAAACGACACGTCGCTGAGTATCCACTCAGCGATTATGAACAGCTCTGGATAGGACGGTACGAGCGCAGCTTGGTGGAGCGCAAGACTGCGGTTAATCGTGGCGCGTCACGCTGGCGACACCACTCGCGTTCTCGAGGTCGTGGTGCCGTGCAATCGCCACGACGTTCTCGTTCGCGTGATCGTCGCGATACACGCTCTTCGCAACGTTCTCGTCGTCGCTCTTCATCTTGTCGTCGTGGTGAAACGTCACCACGACGTTCTCGCAATCGCTCTCGGTCTCGTAGTCGTGGTGACACTTCACCACGACACCGTCGTCGTGCATCTCGTTCTCGCTCACCGCTAGAACACACAGGTCGTCGACCAAGTCTACACCAAGCGTGTGCAGGGACTCGTAAGCCCGAACGAGGTCCGGAACGTCTCGAAGAAGCGAAGAGCGCGGTTCCCACGTATCCTGCTCGGGTGGAAACCCGAGCCAACGTACACGATACTTGCGCGCGGTTGGAACCGCGCGCTCATGGTGTCGCGACGATGTCGTTTCACGACGAGGGTCCTCGTGACCCAGTAAACGCTCCACAATCCAGCGCTTCTGGCCTTCCGCGTCCACAAGCGGTGGTGGACCCTCACGATGGTACTGCTGGCGTCCTGGTTGCCCAGGACGATGTAGATGCGGCTGTGAACAAGGCTGTCGATGCCCAGCTGGAGGCTGAAGCTGCCCTTGACCGAGCTGCGCGGGCTGAGAGAACAGCGAACGAGATTCGACAGTCGAACCGCGAGCTGCTTGAACGGATGCGGAACCTGGAACGCCAGGTTCTTGGGCACGCGCAGGCTGGGACGCAGCCGCGTCCGATGTCGCTGGTGCATCGAGCAAGGCGAGAGGGAAGGTCGACCTATGAGCCTTTGACTCCGAGGACGGAGCCAACCCGTGAAGCGTAGCTGGACGGTACTCCTTGAGCCGCCCGACGTAAAACGTCGGGTGAAGTCGCAGTGACGAAGGGATGGCCAGTGTGTATGCGTCGCCGATTGCCTTGAGTACCGTGAATGGTCCGATGAAACGTGGCGCGAGTTTGCTCGCGCCTAGATTGGTTACTGCTGAATCTCGTAGGCCTTCGGTAGATAACAATACACGATCACCTTTCTTGAATGTACTCGTGTTCTTTCTTCCACGTTTGTCTGCATTCGCTTTCTGTTTATCCACTGCAGATCGAAGAGTATCGCGTACAAACCTCGTGATGGCTTGACGTTGGAGTATAAACTCTGACACAGCCATGTCATCAATTGGTCGCGCCGATTCAATCGGCGCGTAGTTAGCTTTAGGGTTTCGCATACTCGAAGAAGGGTCGATCAGCGTCTGTGTAGTCCATTGAGCTATCGGGGACGCCACGTCACGTGGCGTCGAAACAGAAGACTTCGCCTTGGAATGGTTGACAACATTCGCGCTCAGAATACCGTGAGCTTCACTCGATCGTTGTTTATCGTTATCACCCCCCGCCAGAGTGGAGCCACGAAGAGCCGTGGGTTGACCCACGGCAAGAAGGGTAGGTACACGAGGATGACGGGCCGAATTTGCAAAAAATGGCGTCAACCCCGTTGACGCGTGAACCGCGTTGTTGAGTGCAAACTCCGCGAGTGGCAAAAACGCACTCCAACTTGTAAAGGACGTTGCGTAACTTCGAAGAACATCTTCGAGGACCCGATTAACTCTCTCTGTTTGCCCATCCGTTTCCGGATGGGCTGCTGTCGACATTTGCAGCTTTGTGCCAAGCAACTCGAACAATGACGTCCAAAAAGCAGATGTAAAACGAGGATCACGGTCCGAGACAATGTTGTCTGGAAGACCGTGATGGCGAAACACAGTGTCAATGAAGTGCACCGCGGTCTCAGCCGCGGTGATCGTTGCATGAACAGGCACCAGATGTGTCATCTTGCTGAATCTGTCGACAAAGACCAGAATACCCGATCGGTCTTGGCCATCTGGTGCAAGCCCGAAGATAAAATCCATTGAGACTGAGCTCCAAGCCTCAGCTGCAATTGGCAGGGGTCGCAGGGGTGCCTGCGACGATGGTGATGGCTTCACGCGCTGACATAATTCGCAGGTGCGAACCCAGTTGCGAACCCACTTGTACATGTGGGGCCAGAAGAAGTCGCGCGAGACAGCCGCGAATGTCTTTTCGCGGCCCAGATGACCGCCAATTGGGGTATCATGGTACTCGTGGATGATACGAGCACGCAAATCCAAGTCATTCGCAATCACAGTTCGAGGCGCATCGAATTTGTCGATGCTATATAACAGCAAATCACCGTCCATACTGTATCGTTGAATGTGATCACGCTTCGTTCGCGATGGAGCTCCCAGTGCAGCATCGCTGGGAGCGCGCAGATAGGCAATAATGTCCGCATAATCTGGATCGTTCGCGTAAGCCGCGACAATTTCATCGAAAAGGCATAACTTGGGTGTGACCCGAGTTAGATTCAACGACACACACGTCGCACATCGATCGTCTTCATCGTCGTCGTCAGTTGCCTGACGACTCAGTGCCATACGAGGATCGTAATCTGGGCGTCGTGACAGTGCGTCAGCAAGAATGTTGGTCTTGCCTGGCTTGTATTGCACGACGAAGTTGTACTCGGAGAAGAAAGAGAGCCACCGTGCCATCCGCTGTGACAGATGTGGGCTCTTCATTGCTGTCCGCAGCGATGCA